GGAAAGAGCTTGGTGATGGGAAAAGGCAGTTTCAGGGAATAGCATTCCTGGATGAACAGATGCTTCAGCCTCATCCCCTGGAGCCTCCCAGAGTCTGCTCTTGCCCTCACTAGAATGTGGTGGGGCCTCAGCACTGGGCCTGGTCTTCCTGACTTGGTTTTTCTCTTCACAGTCCCCTGGGGGTGGCCTTGATGAGCACCCTGATCCTGGGTCTGTTCTTTGTGGCCATCTATAGCTTGTCCCATGGGGAGATCCACTACGACCCACTCTATGCTGGTGAGTCAGTGAGAGGGAAGAGAACTGTGAGCAAGGGCATCTCAATCACACTGAGGCCCTTGAAAGGCCTCCTCCATCAGACTGGAGGGAATTTGAAGGGCTCCCATTGGACTGAAGAACCTCAAAGAGACTAGAGAACCCCCATTGACTGGGGAAAACTCAGAGGCCCTTTCCCTTAAGACTTGGGGCTGAGATGAGGAACAGTGTCTTTCCATCACTCTGGGGTCTCCTGAAGGTAGGGATAGTACCTCTCTCAGTCTGGAACCCCTAAAGGCAGGGACTGTGTCTCCCCTTGAGGCAGGGCTGTGGTTCATATGACCTGTAGAGTGGGGACTGGGAGCAGCTAGGTGCAGACTCCTTGCCTGGATCTGGGTCCTTGACATAGCCTCAGGCCCCACCCACACCCAGGCCTGCCCTGCCCACTTTCCCCACAGTGTTTGCAGTCTTTGCCTTCACCTCGGTGGTGGACCTCCTTATCGCTCTCCAAGAAGATGGCTACATGATAGGCTTCATGGAGTTCTACACCAAGGAGGTATGTAGGGGGTGGCCTGGGATGGCCCCTGCGTGGCTGTGCATCTGAGCCCTACACCTGCCCTCACAGGCCGAGCCATTCCTGCGCACTGCACATGGAATCTTCATCTGCTACTGGGACGGCACTGTTCACTACCTCCTCTACTTGGCCATGGCTGGTGCCATTCGCAGAAGGTGCATGGGTGGCACCTGGACCCTGGGAAGCAGGTGGGGTCTCAGGCCAGGGGGAACCAGAAGTTTGTCTAGGAGAAATCAGGAGGTTCCTCTAGGACTCCAGCCAGGGATGGCCAGGAGAAGCTTCCAGGAAATGTCACAGGTGACAGTGGTGGTCAGCACTCTTCTCTTGTTCTGAGCAGCCACTTCTGTCCTTCATAGAGGGTCCGACTGTTTATTCCCTCGTTCAACTTGTTGTTTCTTCTATCCTGGGAGAAACTGGGAGGGACCCAGAGCTGGGGAGCCCAGGGTGGATCCTGGGCTCTGACTGGGGTTCTGAGACTGGGGACAGATATCTACTGGCCACCCCTCCATCTGCAACCCAGGAAGAGGTACCGAAACCTTGGACTGTACTGGCTGGGGTCCTTTGTCATGAGCATCCTGGTGTTCCTCCCAGGAAACATCCTTGGTAAGGACTTGGTTTTGATGAATCCTGCCTCCCCGGGCTGGTTATTGCCCTGCACCTGGAAGCCCCTGCTGGGTCCTCCATCTGCTCCCCAATGTCTTTGAAAGGTTCCCCCATACACAGCCTAAGCCAGCAGCCTGCCCACCTCTCCCCATTTCCTCTTGGAAGGGTGTATCCAAGGGGAGCCAAGAATAGCTGAAGTGTAGGAGCTGTGTCCAAAAGGTAAACTGAGGCAGGCCAGGTTGAGGAGCATGAACATCACCTTATGGTCATTGGGGAACCAGAGGTGTTAGAGCTTGAGCGAGGAGGGCATTTGTGAATCGTGACATCCATCCAGGAACTCTGGCATGGCTCAGCTAATGGGACCAGCCAGGCCTGGGAAATCCTCGCTGAGTGACACCCATCTCTCCTACCATGACAGGGAAATACAGCTCAGAGATCAGGCCCACCTTCTTCCTCACCATTCCATATGTGCTGGTCCAATGCTGGGCTGGCCTGAAGGTCTTCAACCAGTCGCGGGCACCAACCCGCTGCACCCCCAACATGGTAGGTGCCTTGCCCTCAGGCAAGCCTGTGCCCACCTACCTGAATGTTCCCAATTTGAGTTTTTTTCTGGTTGAAAACACTGTCTTCTTGGAAGGATCTCCTTGGTCATTAGGAAAGAATGGATGAGCTTTTACGGAGTGCCTATTGGATACCAGACTTTCCATGCTCTCTCTCTCATGAGGTAGGTGCAGGAGGAGCAAAGAAAGGGGCTACTGCAGCGCCCAGCTGACCTGGCCCTTGTCATCTACCTCATCCTTGCTGGGTTCTTCACCCTCTTCCGGGGCCTTGTGAGTTTGGCCAACCTACTCCTCTCCTGCCTCTAGCCGCCATCCCCGGCCCTCCCTTCCCACAATGTTTCTTTACTTAGTGCAAAAAGGCCACTGCTCTCCAATCTGATCATCCACAGAAGTTCTTCATTGAGTCTGACTTGAGTGTTTCATCCCAAAGCCCTATTCCCTAAAGCCTACTCCCCAGTTCCAATATCTGGATTCTCAGCCAGAGGAGAGAACCAAAGCTGGGGGAGGTCAGAGTGAGGGGTTTGGGTTCTGCCTGGGAAAATGGGGAAGGCTTCCTGTGGGAGGGATGTTTCAGGTGGGTTGTTGGTTGTCTGTTGGCTCCAGGTAGTGCTTGACTGTCCCACAGATGCCTGCTTTGTCTATATCTATCAGTATGAACCATATCTGCGGGACCCTGTGGCCTACCCAAGGGTGCAGGTAAGACGGTGGGTGGCAAGAGAAGACCATGGTTCTGCCACCCATAGGGATCCACTGGGCCTATTTGAAGCAGGTGCCAGAAACACAAAGTCAACTGGTAGAAGCACAGATGGAATTATCGTCCTACTAAAAATGTATAGACATAGCCTCAGGTATGACTGGATCCAAGAGCTCAAGGATAGCTCTGTCTCTGGGCTCTGCTTTCTTTGCATGGGCTCCACTCTCAGGTGGTCCCTTTGTGGGATGGCAGAGACAGTCTTGGGCAGCTCCAGGCTTCTTTTCGTCCTACTTAGCCACCTGAGAGGAATGTGAGCCCTTATTTCCCCAGAGCTTAAGCATGAGTCTCAGGCAGGCTCTGATTGGCCAGGTGTGAATCACATGCCCATTGCCTAGCTCTGGTCATTGTTGCCAGGAGTAACGTGGGTAGGCTCAGTGTGTGCATGTGTGTATGTGGTGGAGGGATACCAAAGAGAAATAGAGGTGCAGTTTGCACAGGGTGGGATGTGCAAAGAGTCTCCATCCTGGGTGGGGTCTGAGGCTGACTAGATCCTCCCTGAGGCTCTCACCTGAGGGGGTCTCAGAAGACCTCTCAGGCAGCTGCTCATCCTGTTGGCTGTGTGTCCCTCAGATGCTGATATATATGTTCTATGTACTGCCCTTCTACGGCCTGGCTGCCTATGCCCTCATCTTCCCTGGCTGTTCCTGGCTGCCGGACTGGGCCTTGGTGTTTGCTGGAGCCATAGGCCAGGTGAGGTCTGGGGGACACAGGTGCATAAGGAAGTAAGTTTCAGCCTACCCATCAATTGCTTTTGTGCTTGCCCTGGACAGGGTGATGCTGGGCCCCTAAGAGGCCCCAGCTCCAGCTCAGTGCCCCAGTATTTCCTAGCCTGGGGGAAAAAGAGCCAGACACAGATACTTTCATGGGGTCAAAACTGAAGAGAG